TCTAGGGTCTCATTTGCTAGGGGAAAATAACCCTCGTAAGCTTGTGGTTGTTTCCCTGATTTCATAAGGAGGATGCTGTAGTTTCACTTTCATTAAAGTTCCTTCTTTTCTCCAAGGAGCATGCCATTGTGCTTGCTTGAACTCATTACTTACCAGGTTCTAGGATTTTCCACTATTCCATCAGATGATGCTTATGGTGTGTTCAGATTCATGATGCCTTAATGTTAGAAGAGAGGAATTGAGTGTCTTCTCTTCCGGGAACCACAGAAGATTATAAAGAAATCTTAATGGATATAATTCTGAAGGGATAAAATATATGTATCTCATATATATCTCTATATATTTATGTGTGCATATATATTATGAAAATGGCCTTAAGATCTTTTTGCAAGTAAAAATATTAAATATTCACTGTAGAGAGTCATACATTTTTATATAGATATAGTAAACAGAGATTCAAAATGGTAGAAATAGTTTCTAGGGACTTAGACTGCATCCTTTCATACAACTCAAGTCAGTTTCAGGTGCATTTCACTTTGCATTATCTGTGGTTGACAGAAACTTTAGAACTATATTCCAAGAGTAGAGTTTCGAGAAATAAACAGGATTCTTGTTGAATTAGTAGTACTGAGGGGAAGTACTATCTAGAAGATCAGATGGGCTTGAAGGACAATGCCCTTAAATGGTCTCAGAGCAAATAAATAGGGTTTCCCACAATGCCAGGAGCAAGATGGGCCCAAATGTACAATAGTTGTGCTGAAACAACCACCAAAAAAAGAAAGAAAAAAAAAAAACAAAAACAAAAAAACGAGAGGGAGAGTGATAGGAAGTTAAAAGCAAGAGAAAAAAATCAGGGTCCATAAAAGATGATCCAACATCTGGGTAACTGATCCCAAGTATAAATCACCAAAGGGAACACTAAAATTATTCAGAGGTACAACCCAGGAAGTTTATAAAATAAAAAACCAAATAGATCTAAAGAGTACAGTATAAGCCAGGAAACAGTGATATACAGTAACCAATAAAGATTATGATTACATAAGAATTAAATTAACATGCATCTTGGTTAAGTTGCCAAATTAAAAAAAGAATCAGAGTTTCCAGGAAGGTTAAAAATAAAACAAAACAGGGCCTCCCCGGTGGCGCAGCGGTTGAGCGCTGGGTTGTGAAGCTGCCCGCAGCCTCTGCAGCGCCGGTTCGATCCCCGGCTACTCCCCGGCCACCTGAGGAGGGTCCCACATGGCGCGCAGACCTCTCCTGCCGCCCGCTGCTCCCCTCAGCAGTGTACTTCGGTCCTTCTGCCTGTTCTGCTCCCCACTCTGGCTCTGGTGAATTCTCTCACCCTCCTGCGCTTCTGACTGTACCCAGTGCTTGTATAAATAATAAATAAATAAAAATAAATCTTTAAAAAAAAAATAAAACAAAACAAAACTCAACAAAATCCAACAACAACCCAGTTGCCCACACAGGAATAGGTAGGGGAGGGGGAGGATCAGAATGGAGCTAGGCTTCCTCAGTGACAAAAAACAATGGAACAGCTTCAGCAGAGTTTTGAGGGAAAGTTAAAAATTATCCATCATATCAGTGTCATTCAAACACAAAGGCCAGAGGTAAAAAATCTTCTCCACTTCCTGGTTGTTTTGACAAAAAAATCATTAAGTGATGAAATTCAGTCAACCAAGAAATGAACCAAAATAAAAATCTTAGGATGGATAAGCTAAAGAACCAGAACTGGTGGTGAGCATCAAATCCATTTTATTTTATTGGGAAAGATTTATTTATTTATACATATAAGAACTGGGGTGTAGGCCAGAGGTGCAGGGGGGTGAGAGGATTCACCAGAGACAGAGTGGGGAGCAGAACAGCTGGATCTACTGAAGTGCACTGCTGAGGGGAGCGGCGGGCGAGACAGAAGAGGTCTGCTGTACCATATGGGTTAGCTCCCTGGCCAGGGATGGAACTCATGCTGCAGTGGGTGGTGTTAGCTTGATAGTGCTGTGTCATTAACCCCTGCGCCACCAGGGAGGCCCCAAATCCATTTTAATAAGCAGTTAAGGGGCCTCCCCTGGTGGTGCAGGTGTTTGAGTGCTGCACTGTTGAAGCTGTCCGTAGCCTCTGCAGCGCTGGTTCGATCCTGGCCGGCCTGCAAGGGTTCCAAGCGGTGTGGCAGACCTCTCCTGTCTCACCCGCTGCTCCCCTCAGCAGTGTATTTCAGTTAGTCTGCCTGTTCTGTTCCCCACTCTGTCTCTGGTGAATCCTCTCACCATCCTGTGCACCTGGCCTGTACCCCGGTTCTTGTATAAATGAATAAATAAATCTTTAAAAAAAAATAAGCAGTTAAGGTTAAACACTTGGGAGAATTATGATTGGAGAACACAAATGAAGTACAAATAATGTAAACAGCAGTGTTAAAGAAGAGGTGAAAGCAAATGTTAATTGGTTCATCTTTTCAGTGTGTTGTGGAACTCCTACCTAAAACTGAAACAAGTAGTTAAAATAGTTTAAAGTCTTATTCCTCTTAATTATTTTCATAAACCTTTCCAACCTCTAAAGGATCTTTTAGGAATGAAGTTTTCCTGTGACAAAGAAACAATTCTTTGAAATTCAGCAATTGTTTCAGCTTTACTTTGTTTTCCTTTTCTTCTGCAAAATCGAAATAAAGTCAGGTTTAATATTCTATTTAAAAAAATAGTATGGTCTCATTCTTTTAAAATTATCCATGTCATATCTATCAACCTATCTTCACACTTGCATAAAAGAACAAACAAAATAAGCAAAATACTCCTAGATCTGGACAACAGGATGGCAGCTACCAGAGGGGAAGAGAGTTGGGAAGAAAGGTTCTGGGGCTTGCTTGGCAGCTGGTGGATGGTCACTAGACCTTTGGTGGTGTGAATTCAGTGTTAAGTACATTTGTCAAGGTGTGAAGCTGTACTCCTGAAATGTATACAGTGTTGTCCTGCACTTCTGACTGTACCCAGTGCTTGTATAAATAAAATAAATCTTTAAAAATAAATAAATAAAGAGCTTTAAAAAAAAAATAAATGCCCTTTGCAGTCATCACCAAATGTTATTACTAATTATTTTTACTTGGTAGAATTTTGGACAGTTTGTTGCTTTCTTCTCTTCTCTTTTATTGTTGCTTATTTTTTGAATAATAATTATGTGTCATTTTAATAAAATGGATAAAATCATTATTTAGAAAAGACAAATGAAAGAAATTTTGTAAGATGTGAGAATAAGTATTACTCTTCCTAATCTATAAAGAAATTTCAAATAATAGGAAAAAGGCAAGAGAGTTAAAAATTGGGATGATATGAATTGGTAACTTATAGAAGAATAGGTCTAAATTGGCAAATGTTCAATAAACACATGAAAGGATGTACAACTCACACTAGAAATCAGGGAAATGCAAATTAAAACAATAGTTTGTTTTAAACATCTCTCCCTAGACTAGTAACAATTAAAAAGGATTATTAATATCCACTGTGGGTGGGAGTGTTTTGGGAATGGAAACTCTTTTCCACTTTTCATGGGAATATGAATTGAAAGGCTATTTGGAGGGCAAGTTGGTGCTATTTCCCCAAATTTAAAACTAAGAAAGTACATTTAGGTTTTTTTTTTTTTTTTTGGCAATAGTGAAATACTGGAAATAAATAAGGGGAACCTGAACTATGGAGGACTTCATATTAGAACACAGTGCATCTGTAGGTGCTGATAAGTCAAGTTCTGGAAAGACCTTTGCACTGAAACATTGTAAGACATTGTTGAAAGAAACTGAAGACACACAAAGAAATGGAAAGATGTTCTGTATTCATGGATTGGAAGAATTAACACTGTTAAAAATGACCATTATACCTAAGCATTATATAGATTCAATGCAATCCCTGTCAAAACTCAAGGAAAGTTCAATAGGACAATGACTAGGTGAGAGAGCAACAATTAATAGAATGAATTCAGTTACGCAACTATAACAACTTATATTTATGTGAGGTAAAAAAAATGTAAAAGAAGAGAGAAAGGACTAGAAAGACACCAACATTAACATTGGCTGTGCCTGGGGAGATGAGTGGGGATGAGGAAGAATGTGAAGGGGGGTGTTCATGTTTATTCCATTTAACTTCTTATAGTTTGAATCTTTTGCAATAAAAATATATTCATTGATTACTGGTATCATTTTGTTAAATTTGAAGAAAGGGGGGTAGAAGAGTCTAAAGTCCAAACCAAATAATTATGGTTTAGATAAGGGAGGACAGGAGCATAAATTTGGAATGATGACAAATGGCTATGGGAGGAGGGAAATGAGAAGGGACTGTTTAGAGCTGTAGACAAACCCATGCCACACTGAGTAGCAATTGGTGGTTTTGTCAGACATATGCCCCCTGCATAAGGTGCAGGCCTTATATACTGAAATTTCTCCCTTTTTTGTACAATTCTGTATTTGTGAATGAGGAACTTTGCATAAGATGGTTGAAGGGTATCAGAGATGGTGGGAGGAGGCTTGGGTCTCAGAAAGTAGCATGTTATGGAAATTTTTCTTACTTCATTTATTACCTGTACTATACTTACATATTCATTTATTAACATGTTATATAAAATTTACCATTAATATTAATATATTAATATTAATTTATGATACATTATTAGTCTAATCAATGTTATATATTTTATAATAATAATATAAGTGCATGAATGAATCTCCTGGACCATAGTTTTGAAAAGTTAGCCTATAATGTATCAGCCTGTGCTGGTCAGGGAGCCATGCGGGGTTTTGCTGTAAAGCCCATCCTGGGGACTTCAAGCTGGAGAAGACCACCTTAGAGATAAGGTGTTGGTCTTGTACAATTCTTCCATTATATAGAGGGAGTTCTGTGTTTCAGAGATTGGTCTTAGAGCTGAGCTTCTACTGTCAAAGGTGCAGTTTTACTTCTAAAAAGAGCACCACACATCTAAGAATCCATCGTGAGGAGGACTCAAACCTCTCTCTTCTATTCCCTTAGGGCATCAATTGAAGAGAAATATGGCAAAGATCTGCTCAACCTTTCTAGGAAGAAGCCATGTGGACAGTTTGAGATCAAGTAGGTGCCACATTTCTGGTTTCCGGACCAACTGATACTTCCCAGGAACCCCTGTCCCTTCAGCAGACAGGGTGGCTTTAGGGTAAAATGTGTTGGGTAAAAAAGAAAGCAATAGTTGTGGTGTTTTTTTTTTTTGTTTGTTTGTTTGGGTTTTTTTTTGTTTTGCTTACTTCCATTAGTGAAAAATATAGAGTAGAAAGAATGCTAAATAAATAAAGCCACAGCCCATTATTAATACTTTATAGATTTTCCTTGAAGTCTTTTCTATGTGTATTTTTTATATATTTTTTCTGTTTTATAATTTTTTTGACTTTTTTGTGTTCTGTGTACATTTTTTCATAGGTACAATTAATACTATATAATTTAATACTAGAAATTTAACAGGAATTTCTACACACATATATATATACACACCTATAGTTTGTGATAACTGTGAGAGACTATCTTTGCTACTTTATAGTTTTCATCATCAAAGTGAGGTTTTGACACAATTATTTATTCTTCCATCATTAATTGAATATCTGAGGATACAGAAATGGTCAGGACATGGTCTCTCCCTTAGCAACACACTCCCTCACACACAGGGCTGGATTCAGAGGCAGCCAGACAGGATCTCACACTTAGGAAGGCCCTGTAATTGGTTTAATGTTCCTTGCTGTGAATATTTTGAAATTCATAATTGATAAAAAAGGAGTCTCATATTTCCTTTTGCTGTGGGCCTTACGAGTTATAAAGCCATTCTTACATGAACATTTCTAAATCCCTTCACTAACAGAAGCATGTTGAGGGAGGCTTGGGAGAAATAGTTCAGGTAGATGTTTGCAAGTCTCTAAAGCCTAGTCACGTCACTAACTGCGCTGCATTCTGCTCTGGCTGAGCTATAGAAAGCTGCGGGGATGCCCTGGGGTCTGTGAGTCTGCAAAGGTCCTTGTGGTGGAGGGACCTCCCTGGTGGCCTAGGGGTTAAGTTAAATGTCAGTGCTATCACCATGAAGTCCCATCACAATGGCCTGAGTGCAATCCCCGGCCAGGGAGCTGACCCACATGGCACAGTAGACATCTCCTGACTCACCCACTGCTCCCCTCAGCAGTGTATTTCAGTAGACCTGCCTTCTCTGCTCCCCACTCTGTCTCTGATGAATCCTCTCACACCCTCCCCCAGCAACTCTGGCCTGTGCCCCAGATCTTCTGTGTATAAATACATAAATAAATCTTTAAAAAAAGATCTTTGGGGGCACACAAGACATTGTACTTCCCCTTTTCTTGCTCTAACACACACACACACACACACACACACACACACACACACACATAAATACACGCATGTACGCACTCACCCCAGACTGCAAAGAAAAAACTGGGTTATTGAGGAGGAAAACAATTGGGTGATATTTGAAATAGTAAATTTACATAAGCTAAAAACAAACTTACTCTCCTCAGACATAAGATATTAGTTCAAGGAGAATTTGTTTACTGATTTATTGATTGTATTTTATTTTTGATATTTTAAATGAAAAAATTTTTAAATATGTAAACAGTGAAAAATAAAGCGCTCTCTAACCATTACCCAGATTTAACAATTATTCACATTTGCCATATTTTCTTAGTGTCATTTATTTTGATCATAGTGTTTAAAGTACCAGCTATTTCCATCAAGGAATCAACTGTTTCTCCAAGTGTACCAGATTCCTTTCAGTGATTAAATATATTTAGAGATGAAACTGAGCTCTAGTGTGGTCATTGCCACAGGGATAGCTCTGTTTCTTGACCCTTTTGGGGGACAGATTTTAAAAGCATGAGTTCACATTGCCCAATTTGATATTTCTAATTTAACTTTATAGGGGTTTGCTTCATGTATTTAATATTTTATTTGTATTTATTTCTTCTTGCACTAAGAGCTTAGGTCCTTACAGGAGTAACAGATTTATTTGCTTTCTGTGACAAGATAATACAATGTCTAGAAACAGTGTCAGTACAGCTTCTAGCAACAAAGCTTCTGAATGAAGTTTATTAATTTCTTTGTAGTTCCTTTCAACATGAATATATATTCTACTATGAGTACTGGGTTCTAAAGTCACTTAAAATGTTTAATTTTTGTGTGATTATATAGAAGATTTCATATGTAGTTAAGTTTATTTATTTCAGTTTGCTTTAAACTAAGGATTGTTTCTTCTCCCTGTCTGATTAGTTTTATTTTTTGAATATGTAAAACTTATTCACAGATTAAAACTGTGTAAACTTAGATATGTTTCACTGTTATTCAAAGGCATTCATATCAATGTTTAGATAATTTCAAGGAAGAAAGAAAGAAAGGTGTTTACTTATAAAGAAAGCCATTTGGGAACATATCCAAGAACTTTTGAATGTGATGGAAAACAGCCGTGTTCCCTCATGTGGTACTTCTCGGAAAAGATATTCAGCAGGATGTGTCTGATCCAAAATATTTCTTACATTCTTACTCATTTAATTTATAATTTAGTAAACACATAGAGAAATAGAGAAATGCTAGCACCATTCTCTTCTGTTCCATGATCAAAGCCAGGCAGCTTTCCTTCTAAGAATATACCTCAAGAGGAAGATGAAACAGGATATGAGACCTGGGGACTATGTCCCTAAGACTGAAGTGAAAGGCCACTTAGTTGGCTTATGTGCTGTCCCTTCCCGATGACTTTTTTGGGAGGTACCTAGACGAGGGCTCATGCTTTTGCTTGTCGGTGGACTAGGTAAGGTTTTCACCTCAATGGCCATGTCTGAAACTGGTGTCTCTGATAGGGCTTCTTAGGGCTTCAAACCACCATGCTTATTGAAGGATGGTAAGATATTTTCTTTTCCCACAATAAAGGGGAGCACCATGGAGAAGAAGAGAAGGAATAGACATTGCTAGAACACCAGCCCCAAGGTTGAGATACTACCCCTGGATAGTCTTCACGTCCTGAACATGGGAGATGGCAATGAAGTGATGATGTGAGACAATGAAGCTGAAGTTGTCTAACTAAATAGAGATTGGGTTGTTCTTTAAGTGACCTTTTAGGTACTTGGGGAGGAGAAAACTCTTAGAGCCTGAACAGACTGTTTATTTGAAAGCCTGGCCTTTCCACTCTATGGCTCACTGTAGGAATGGCCTCCACTTGTTCCTGCTGCCAGGTCCATCTGTCTTTCTACTCCCAGTAATAAATCCACTCTTCAGTCATGTTCATGCCTTCTTCTGGAGCAGTGGTGCATTTATTTGGAGAAGGGCACTTTTCTAGCACATTGTTTCCTTAAGAAATGGTATCAGAAGATGGGATATGTAGAGCATATGGAAAATGTGCTGTGATGATTTTCACTTTGATGGTGTGTGAGAAAGGAGAAGGAAAAAGAAAATCCCTTTGCTTTGGGATAAATAAAGAGCAGTAGAAGTGAGATGGCTAAAAGAAGGGACCAGCAGGAAAACATGAGGATTTTTATTTGCAAAAGAACAAAACTTAGCACACACATAGGCAAAATGACCCATGACCCCGTGCTGTTGTCCTTAAGGAGTCCATGAATTCACAAAGCCCCAGTTCACCCACTTGAGAGGCTGGAGTGAACTCATGAGATCCACCTCCACAAAGGCAGCAATCAGCAAGAAAATTCTCTGGACTAACTCACCTCAAGGGAGTGTTATTTAAAGAAGTATGATGGAGGAGAACTAAAACCACTGGTTGGGGAGAATATAAAGGAGGAAGAACCCAGGGCTATAAGAGAGAGGAAGAGGAAGACTGAGAAAAGTCTGAAAAATGAGTTATGACCTCTGTGTCCAGTATATGATAGACTAAATATTAGGAAAACCCTTGTATTAGTTAGGGTTCTCCAGAGAACAGAACCAGGAGGATGGCTAGAGAGATAGATAGATAGAGCCTGAACAGACTATTTATTTGGAAGCCTGTTCTTTCCACTCCATGGCTTACTGTAGGAATGGCGTCCATGTGTGCCTGCTGCCAGGTCCATCTGTCTTTCCGTTCTTCACTGTGTGTGTATGTGTGTGTGTGTGGAACTGGCTCACAAAATTATGGAGGCTAATCTGCTGTCTGTAAGCTGGGGAACCAGGATAACCAGTGGTATAATTCATCTCAAGTCCAAAGGGAACCAGGAAAAGATCAATGTCCCAGCTCAAAATATCAAGAAGGAAGGACTAAATTCTTCCTTATGAGAAGAAATTTTTGAAGTGAAGATATTGCTAACTTTCCAAAATGTACAGGAGCTATAAATTCTTAGATTCAGGAAGTAAAAACAAAAATCTCAAGAAAAGAAATTAAAAAAAAATTCACAATACACAGAACACTCAAACTAAGAGCCAAGATAATGATCAAATCCTAAATTATCCAGAGAGAATAATTATCTGCTTAGGACCATTTATTAGAAGCCACTGATTTTTTCAAGACCAACAGTGATGACAGAAAGTGTAGAATCATGTCTCCAAAGCATGGGGTGTGAGGGGGAATCTATCAACCTGGCATTATATACCAGAGAAAAGGATTTTTCAAGAAGGAAAAATATATAATGATCAGAGTTAACACACTCAGGTATTTTATTCCTTAGGACTATGTATTAACTGTAGACTTTGAGTTTAGAAGCAGACTCTCCCCCTGTCAAATCTCCAGATGAGAGGGAAGTCTGGCTCACACCTTGATTGCAGCCTGTGAGACTCTAAGTAGAGTCTAGCTACACCAAGTCTGGATGCCTTGCCCACAGAAGCTGTGAGTAATCAGTGTATACTGTTGTAAGCTGCTGAGTGTTTGGTAACTTGTTATTCAGCACTAGAACACTACACAATATGTTTAATCTCTGTCTCCTCTGTTAGACTTGGATCTAGGACCATGTCTGTCTCGTACCATTGAATTACCAACCTCTGACACATGCCTGGTCTATAGGTTGTGCTTCACAAGCATGTGATGACCGATGAATGGATGAAAAAGGAGGCAATCAGGAGCCAGAGTTTGAACCATTTTTTTATTGGCTTGTAATTACATTTATAATCACCATACTCAGAGAATGACTGGTATTCTTAATGTGAAAGGGACCATAACTCCTGTGTTATTACTGGGGAAAACAGCATAAAGAATTTTGGCATCTTGCCCTGGCCAGGTGGATAGTGAAGAATTTATGGTGCTTGTGCCTGAGATTAAGAGCGTAATGAATGGAAGAAGTCTTGATCTTTTGCTGTCTTCCTGAGTCACAGGCAAAGACTAGTCTCTAAGTTACAACATGGACAGAGAAAAGCAAGTAGCACCATTATAAAAGACTGCGCAACCATTTCCAGTACTGAAATGATGTGTGTTTGTTTTCTAGCACCCTGAAGCGGGCCCTTGAAGTCTTCAAGCAGCGTAAGTGAGTCTTTAAAAATGTACTTGGTTCTTGGCAGGTCTGTGTCTGTCATGAGAAGTGGGTTTTAATTTGCATGGCAATCTCAGATTGGGTGGGGAAAAAAATCAGAGCAACTCCTAAAGTGAGCATTGGTTCTGCAGAACTAAAATGAACTGTTGACCACTCCCCTACCTCACACACACTCTTGTAAACATCATGATGCACTTTTGATTTAGAACAGTGGTTCTCACACTTGAGTGAGCAGTAGAATCACTTGGAAGGCTTGTTATTCACACAGATTGCTGGGTCCCATCTCCAGAGTTTGATTCAGGAAGCATGGAGAGTGGCCTGAAAATTTGTACCCTTAGTGATTCCGTAGTCATTGGCACAGGGACCACACTTTGAGAAGCACTGCCTTCGAGGATGGTCTCTGCTGCTTACTTCTCACGCAGAGTCAGTCACTCAAGTGCTTCGTTTTTACATTTAAAATTTTTACTTTTACAAAATTCTAAAGTTTGTTAATATAATTCCAGAAAGATTGTACTGATCACTCCCCAACAGTGCTGTTTCCCCCCCTTGCTTGCCAATAACTAAAAAGATGCACTTCTAAAATATTGACAAACTGAAAAGTAAAAAGTGATTTGTTTCTGGGTTTTAAGGTGTTAATATTTTTCAATAGTTTTAAGTCTGACTATATTTGCAGCAACATGGATGGATCTGGAAGGGATCATGCTCAGTGATCCAGAAAGAAAGTAAGCCAGAAAGAAAAAGAAAAATACTGGATGGTCTCACTCATGGCAGGAATAAAGAGGATCCAAATAAGAGATCAGGGGAAAAAAACTAATCATAATAAAGTAAAAATCAAAATCAACAGGCAACTATAAATCAGAGACATACTACATGAGGGGGAGAAGGGAGTGTGATCCAAACAAGGGTGGGAAGAGCACAAGGGACCATGGTGATAGTTCACAGGTGAATGGGTGGTGGGAATTTTATGGGGACTATAACCAAGATGAAAATGCATACATTGTACAAAAATGAAAAAATGATGTAAATATATATATAAAATAATTAAAAATAAATTTGAAATAAAAAATAAAATATTGACAAACTGAAAGTAAAAAGTGATCTATTTCCAGGTTTAAAAGTTCTAATATTTTTCAATAGTTTTAAGTCTGACTATATTTTCAAATATTTGCTTATTGGCTATCTAGCCGACCTTTTTAAAATTTTGTGTTCTTTAATCAATTTTTTAATGCTGGCATATATATCTTTTTCTTTTAATTTGTGAATGCTCTTTTAATATATTTATTCTTGGTTCCATAAATTACAAATATTTTTCCAGTTTTTCATGTGTCTTTTAAACTTGTTCAAGTTTATTTCAAAATACACAAGTTTAATTTTTTTCCTTAAATCAGATGTGTCAGTCTTTCCAGCTTCATTGTTTTTTAGTACAAGTAAAAGGAAAAGTACAGTTTTTCTAATTATAAAGTTAAGCCATACTCATGCAAAGGTTTTTAAAAAAATATGAGGGAATGTTATCAATGATCCTTCTGTCTAGAAATAATTACTAGTAGCCAAAACTCTGGTGTAGAACGTGTCTTGTACATATCCAGTAAGGAAAGAACTCTAGAGGTGATCCAGTGAGAAGGACTAAATTTGAAATTATTGTGGATTAGTAATGCCTCTGGCATGTACCCCCCGTGAGGTGTGGCTTTGGCTGTGTTTTTCTCCTCAGACCTGGGCATATGCTAGGTTAGTTACAGTTAGTGGTAGGAGGCTAAGCTAAAGGTTTTCTAGCTTGGTCTAAGTGGCCAGGGCACATAAGGAGCTCAATAAACGCTGGTGACCAAATGAAATGTGTTAATTTTATCACTTACTGTGGTATTTTATATATATTTAAATTTCCTGTATGTTTTTGTTTATTTGAATTCAGACAAATTTAGATACTTTATTATTATTCTTTTTTAAATTTTAATAATATATTATTATTCTTTTTGCAGAAATAGACAATGTGGCACAATGTCATATTCATCTTGCACAGACTCTGAGAGAAGAGGCCAGGAAGATGGAGGAATTCAGGGAAAAGCAAAAGCTACAACGGAAAAAGGTTGGATGGTCATATGTATTAAGATGCAGTCTTTCCTCTGACAGAACTACTTAGCTGGGCTCCCTCCCTCTTCTTTTAACCTATGAGATCATTTCATGGGGACTCAGTCTAGGTGGTGATGCCTCTGTGACCTTCTGCACCCCAGGCCAGTTCTATTTTAATTCTTGCAGAATTCAGGGATCCAGTCTGTTTTCCTCATCTTTTCATCTGCTGCCATTATTCAGACCTTTTGTCTTCAGTTGTCTAGAGTACCCATGCTGAGGAGGCCCAGACCTCCTGGAGGAGGCAGTATGAGAAGGGTAAGAAGTGGAGGAGAGAGCACATTCTCCCTAGAGAGTGTATGTGTTCAACCATTCTATTTTACAAGTAGGGAAACTGAGGCTCTAGGAAATCAAGCTCTTTATGTCTCCAAAGCAGACATGCATATTCTTTTTCACTGGTGGGTTTGTTCTGGCCAACTCAATGGAAGGAGATGGAGGTGAGCAAGACTTAATAAAACTGGCAAACATTTGGGAAATTATAAAGATCAGGAAGTCCAGATTTATATTAAAATGTTATAGACTACACCAGTCAGCGTTCTGTTTCTAAAAGATTTCTATGTTCAGGTTGGTCAGGCAGGAATAAGTAGGACCCTTCTGGGACTGTTACCATTTTTTTTTTTTTAATCCGGTCTCCAACATTGGAACACCAGCTTCATTTGGGGAAAAGCTTTCCAAAGATATCCACCCAGGTCTCCTCAGAGAGCCCTGCATGGGCTTTTGGAAAATTTTCCCTCACCCTAACACTTCATCATCCGAGGTAGTTGTCTGCGGTGTGTGTCTTCAATAATCAACCAGCTGTTTAAGGCTGCTCAGGCTGATTCTGCCTGTCCCTGTCTCAGCAATGTTGCCTCTGTTTCTCAGTCAGAGTCTAATTCCAGCTTCCTTGGTGGCCTCTTGGATTGGAAGTGGCAACATCTAAAGAGCTTGGCTGCCTTATATCTATTGCACTCCTTGAGCTGCTCTTACAGCATGTCTCTTACTGGAAAGTTATGTTTAAGGAGCACCATATCAAGAGCATTCATGCACACTCAAGCTTCATTGATCGGGCTTGAGGGGCACATTGATCCAAAGTATTTTTCAAAGCAGAAGTATGTACATTACACACACCCATTGGATGGTCAGACTTTTTTAGGTTGATATTGCCCACCCTCCCCAGACTGCTAGAGGAAAAACTTCTTCAGAAACAACCAAAGTCTATTCACATGATTTTCAGCAAGAGAGGAGGGTCATTTCCTCATGTTTCAAGTGTCCTTGGTAGCCCTAAGTCATTTCAGGGAGAGTTTTGTTAATTTTGCAAGGTTTCTGAAATTTCCCCACCCACCTCCAATAAGTTACAAAGACCAAATTCTCACAGCTAGCACAACATGGTCAGAATTGTTAAGCAATAGAGAAGCCTGTGCTCAGTCCACTTCAGGTCCCTATATTCTGTGGGTGCTCTACAACAGGAATATACCTTCTGGCTTTCTTGGAGAAGTCCAAAGTTTATTAATAAAGTTGTAATGGTGTCAAAACAAACTGCCTTGTACCTCTTTTGGATTTACTTAAAAAAAAAATCAAACATTGGGACAAATTATGTGAGTGGTAACTTCTCATTTTCACCGGTCAAAGCCTGCACGCTTTGGTTTTTCACTTCGTGGAAATTAAGCCATTTCCACTTATCAAGAAAAGCCATCAGTGAGTTTAGTTAGTAAACTGGGGTGGGGGAGGTGCGGGTAGAATAGCTGGTCAGAGGTTTATGGTTGCTTATTTATACAACTCTTTTTTGAGGGTGGTGGTCATCCTTCCTTCACTGAGCCTGGTCAGAGGCTGATGTGACGCAGTCATCATGGGAAAGTATGATGAGGCTTAAATGGTAGAAAGTACCACCTGAGCATACAGTAGTTTCAACTAACATGGGACTGGTGGGCTCCTGGAGAAGTGACCTTAAGCTAAAACCACAAGACTCAAGGGCAATATCGGTGAGGGTTGTGAGGATGAGGGGCACATGCTGGGGTTCGATGGTGAATGGCGGGAGCTTAGGAGCCAACCATAGGAGTCTTGATGTTTCAGTGTGTTGAGGTTCCTTTCCCAGCCCAGAATGTCCTGCACCTGACAAAGACAGCAGGTGGGTGGTCACTGTCTTCTCTGGTGCCCACATTCTGTATTTCCATCTCAACTAAGATTGGCATGAACATGGCAGAACTTTAATCTGCCCATATGGAGAGCAATCTCCAAAGACAGGAATCTCCTTGGTTACAGAAAGAGTCCTTCCAATATTCAGAATGTAGTCTGAGTGTGGTAGACACGAAAACAGAACACGCCACAGCTGTTGTACTAATTTACTGCAGAGTCATTTGGGTCACTTATAAATTTCCTCTTCTGTTTCCTCTCCCTCTTGCTTTCCCACTCTATAGCAGAGATGATTGTTTTTGCCCTATTTCTTGTTACCATTGGATTTGATCTGGGCAGATGTCTTGGAATCCTAAAATAAATACTTTCCCAAGGAGACCTGAAAAAGAACCTTTGACTTCCTGGGGTCACCATGAATATGTCATCTTGTAAGAACATGTGGATATAGAGACTTAAATCAAGGTGACATGGCAGACAGAGCTGGACTTGGTGACAGTGATTACTCTTGAACAAAGGATATCACCTCAGGGGTCTCAGGGGTCACCCCTGGCTTCTTAGAGTTGGAATCTCCCTCTCTAGGATCCTGCTGACATAAATACCTCAGGAATCACTGAGGGCTGAGAAAGGAATGAGATAAAATGAAAAGCTTTGGTTGGGAAGGCCCAGATGAAGTGAACTTGAAGCTCAAATCAACTTCAAGATCACAGGTGCTTCAAGCAGAACTTGGCGATAAGGAGGCAAACACTGGGCTATAAACTATAAAATAGTAATGCCTCTCAAGCTGGAAGGATCATGGAGTAGACCAACATTGCCAACTGATCTGCTCGATGGAGACTGGGAAATCAGGAACCTTATTAAAGAAACCCAACTCTTACTCCTGGCAGAGGTATATAGGTGCTCATGCTAATGTTGTAGCTAGGTCCCCGTCTGCAACGATTAGGATCTGTGCATGAGTCCCTGTGGGACTAATGTTGGAGCCCTGTTCGCTAGACCTGCAGTGTCTCCACATTGGCAAGTGCATGGCCACCTCTTGTCAGCTGGGTTAGATAATGATTGCTCAGTTTTTTTGAGGATACCTTGGAGCCCCCAAGAGAATTTAATATAGTCCACAAAACTCACATTTGAAGTGAGACCATCCCAAATAGTCTATCCAAATATCTGGAAAATTCATTCAACCATGTTTGTGTGTTCATTTTCCAGAAGAGAAACCACATCTGAATATCATTTTCAATATTATTATCCTAAGGATGCTGGTAGTTTAGGGTAATGATCAGGAATAAGGGCACAGGAGTCAGGCTATGTCCAAATCCCAACTCTGCTACTTGCTGAGTGTTATCTTGGTTTACCCACCTCAGCTAAGCACAAAAACTGCTTAGCACATAATAATGTTTGATAAATGGGTGCTACTATTATGTGTCAGAAGTGTATTTTTAGCTCTATTAGTTTGACTGATACAAATGTTAATGTCATGGTCACAACAAAGAAATTGCTCCTGAGTGAACTTGACAGAATGGCTTGGGATAGAGGGGTAAAAAGTAGAGACGTTCCTTCTAAGTGTCCTACAAACATGTCTTCCCTTCATACTCCCTGGTTATGCTCCTTGCTGTCATACTGCTGGTTAAGGCCATGCCGTTCAGACTGGATCAAGAAGATGTGGTATATATACACAATGAAATACTATTTAGCAATCAAAAAAGATAAACTCATGCCACTTGCTGCAACATGGATGGTGCTAGTAGGGATGATGCTCAGCGAAATTAGCCAGAAGGAAAAAGAAAGATATTGGATGGTTTCACTTACAGGAGGAATATTGGGGAACCAAATAAGGGACCAGGAAAAAAATAATAATAGCAATAACAATAAAATTTAAAAATTAGCAGGCAACTATAAATCAGAGACATTCTGCAACAGAAGGGGAGGCAGAGGATCAAAACGGGAGGGAAGAGCACACTATGGTGATGGTTCATGGGTGAATTGGTGGTGGGAATTTTACGGGGACTAGACCTGAGAGGAGAAAGTATACATTGTACAAAAATGAACAATGATGTAAAAAATATATATATATTTTTAAAAAGCATGTGTCATTTGTTGATGGACACCTCAGTAGTGAATGTATGAGTCTCTCATTTAACTGTGCTGACAAAAGCTGACAGAATAAAGACCCCTTTCAAAATATAAATGGTTCTTTAAGAGAAGTTTTATTTATTTATTTATTTAAAGAGATTTTTTAAGAGTTTTTTTTTTAAAGATTTATTTATTCATTTATACTAGCACTGGGTACAGTCAGAAGCGCGGGAGGGTGAGAGAATTCACCAGAGCCAGAGGGGAGAGCAGAGCAGGCAGAAGGACCGAAGTACACTGCTGAGGGGAGCAGCAGGTGGCAGGAGAGGTCTGCGCGCCATGTGGGACCCTCGCCCGGTGGCCAAGGATCGAACTGGCGCTGCAGAGGCTGCGGGCAGCTTCACAACCCAACGCTCAACTGCTGTGCCACTGGGGAGGCCCATTAAGAGAAGTTTTAAAATCCCTTTTTGAAATCAAAATTCCTTGACTCCAGATTATCTGGAGACTGGTTGAAGGGACTCATGTCACTGTGGTGACTGCCCAAGTTCAAAGGCAGACCCCACCACTAACCAGCCATTGACCTTGGGCAAACTGCCTCCTTATGCTGCACTTTCCTCATTTATGAAATGGGAGTAATTACCTTGTGGGTCACATGAGGGCTCAATGAGATGATCCATGTTGAATACTGAACCCTCAAGACAAATGGTATTAATAATTTGTTTTTATTATTAATATTGCTTGTGCTCTCTTCACAGACAGAGCTCGCAATGGATACTGCCCATAAGCAGAAGAGCTTACAGTTCAAGAAAACCATGGATGTGAGTCATACTTTACTGCCTCTCTCTCTTTCTCTCTTTCTCTCTTTCTCTTTCTCTCTTTCCCTTTCCTTTCCTTTCCTTTCCTTTCCTTTCCTTTCCTTTCCTTTCCTTTCCTTTCCTTTCCTTTCCTTTCCTTTCCTTTCCTTTCCTTTCCTTTCCCTTCCCTTCCCTTCCCTTCCCTTCCTTCCCTTCCCTTCCTTCCTTCCCTTCCCTTCCCTTCCCTTCCCTTCCCTTCCCTTCCCTTCCCTTCCTTCCCTTCCCTTCCCTTCCCTTCCCTTCCTTCCCTTCCCTTCCCTTCCCTTCCCTTCCCTTCCCTTCCCTTCCCTTCCCTTCCCTTCCCTTCCCTTCCCTTCCCTTCCCTTCCCTTCCCTTCCCTTCCCTTCCCTTCCCTTCCCTTCCCTTCCCTTCCCTTCCCTTCCCTTCCCTTCCCTTCCCTTCCCTTCCCTTCCCTTCCCTTCCTTCCCTTCCCTTTTCTTTTTCTTTCTCTCTCTTTCCTTTCTTTCTTTTCCTTCCTTCCTTCTTTCTTTCTTTTTATTTATGCATACAAGAACTGGGGTGTAAGTCAGAGGTGCAGGGGGATGAGAGGATTCACCAGAGACAGAGTAGGGAACAGAACAGGCAGATCTATGAAATACACTGCTGAGGGGAGCAGCGGGCAATACAAGAGAGGTCTGCTGCACCATGTGGGTAGCTCCCTGGCTGGCAGTGCTGCAGTGGCTGGCGATAGCTTGATAGGGCGATCTTTAACCCCTGTGCCACCAGGGAGGCCCGCTTCTTTTTCTTTATAAAAAAGACCTTCTAAAACATGTATGAGAATATTCCTAATCAAACAATCTTTCAATGTTATTGATTAGTGCAGTGTTTTAGAGAAAGTAGTCTTTAGTGATTTGACTTTCCTGCTTTTTAAGTCCATGGAAAGCAGTGGAAATAATGGAAATAATGATGGAAATAGTGGAAATAATGATGTCATCTTTTTGGAAATGTGAAAAAGTATAGCAAGTCAACTGAAATATTTCAGGTAAAGACACCAAGAATATATATTGTAGGACACCATTTATCTTGTTAAATGTGTTATTTCATCTGTTCGATTTCTTACCTATTTTTAGTGACCCTTTCCTGTTTTAAGATCTGCAAATTTATAAATTTCCCTTAATTTATAAAAAATGCTTAACAAGACAGAGCTAAGACATGTTGGCGGGACCTCACTCTAGTTTTTCACAAATCTGTGAACTCTGGATACATGAACTATGTTATTAGAACATCTATGGCTCCATCTTTGTATAGAAATCTGTGGTATTCTATAGCTATGACATGATATCCAGGAACCTGGTCAAAAAAGAAAATGTCACCAGTGTTGATAGCATATACAATCTGCCCACATCATTTGTGCAGTTCTCTTAAAAAATGACTGGTAAATAGGGATTGGTGTCAGTGGTATGCAGAAATAGTGTTGATTGATATATGATCACTCACAGGTCTTGTCTTTTTGAGCAATCTCAGGCAAGTTTTCTCATAAGAAAATAGAAAGCCCCTGGTGATATAATTTTAACTATTGTCACTACCTATATTTCAAATATTGGTGTTGAAATTTTTGCTTTAAATGTCAAAAATAACTTTAAAAACTTAAGAGGAGAAAGGCTGTTATAATTTTCCTTCTGATGTTTGAAAGTTTCTTCTTTCATAGTTTTCTTTTGTTTGAAGAACTGCCTTTACACTTTCCTCAGGACAGATCTGCTTGTGACAAATACCTTTAGTTGTCCTTCATCTGGGAATGTCATAATTTCCCCGTTGTTCCTAAAGGGTATTTTCACTGGTCATAACATGATTGTGTTGACTGTTGTTTTAGCACTTGGAAAATGTTGTGACATTTTCTCATAGCCTCCAGAGACTGATAAGAAATCAAATTGATTATAATTCAATTTGATTTTCCCTTATAGGTAAGGTGTCATTTCTTTGTTTTATGATATCTTGTTTGTAGTTTTCTTAAGTTCACCTCTGTGTCCTGTCATGGATTTAGATTTGATAAGCTTCTTAGATCTGTAGGTTTCAGGCATGATTTCTTCAAGTATTTTTTCAGCCTACTTCCCTCTCCTTGCTAGAGTTCCCAAAGACATGTGTGCTAGATCTTTCATTATGGTACTAAAGGTCCCTGAAGTTCTGTTCAATTTTTTTTCTCTCTGTTCAGATTTGGTGATTTCTGTTCTATCTTCTAGTTCACCAATTCTTTCTTCCTTCTCTTCCATTCTCAAGTTCATCCATTTGTATTTTTTATTTCAGTTATGTTTTTTAGTTCTAAAATTTCCATTTGGTTCTTTCTTATATTTCCCATTTATTTATTCTTTTTCTTTGCCATGATTTTTTTATTTCTTTCAATTTTTTTTTTTTTTTTTTTTTTTTGCTTGTTGAATGTTTTTATGATAGCTCCTTTAAAATATTTGTCAGGGCCTCCTCTGGTGGTGCAGCAGTTGAGCACTGGGCTGCAAAGCTGCCCGCAGCCTCTGCAGCATCGGCTCGATCCCTGGCCACCAGCGAGGGTCCCACATGGCACGGCAGACCTCTCCTGCCATGCCTGCTGCACCCCTCAGCAGTGTATTTCGGTCCATCTGCCTGTTCTGTTCCCTGCTCTGGCTCTGGTGAATTCTCTCACTCTGTCACGCTTCTGACTGTACCCAGTGCTTGTATAAATAAATAAATCTTTAAAAAAATAAAGTATTTGTTAGTTTGAGGTCTTCCTGGTTCTTAGTTACAGTGTGTGATATTCAATTGGCTTTGAACATTTTAGGTATTGTTTTACAAAGCTCTTTACAAGGATCTTATTTAAACCACCTGTTTTAACTGGCTAACACTGATACCACTGCAGCAGGGGGAAGTGAGACACAAATTCTTTCCTGCTAAGTGAGGGTGAAGGTTCAAATTCCTCCATTGACCTCTGCTGATACCACAGGGTAGATACAGCCTTGATATTACTAGGAGGTGGTTAAAGTTCTAACTCTCAATCAGACTGTTTCTGACACCACCCCAGCAGGGAGCAAATGCATTTCATTATTGCTAGGTAGAGGCAGAAGTCCAGGCTTCCCACTTGCACCATGTATGGGGCTTTATTACCTCCTGGTGGGAATGAAAGTTCCAGATATTTTTCCCTCTCTGATACCACCTTGGCAGGGGAGTTGGGCACCTCATCACAGTTTCTTGAGAGTAGAGGTCAAGGGTCCCCTCACCCCGGCCCCTAACCCTTTCAGCCTTTGCTAGGTGCATGGAGGGAGGAATATAATTATGTCGGTGGTGTTTGGCTGCAGAAGAATGTTACTCATTTTTTTCTTTTGATAAGAGAAAAGCAATATAGAGGTTTAATAATGATAGCGGTAGCTCCTGTAGACATGGGAGAAAGCCACCATGGCTGAGTGACTCACCCACATAGAGGCCATCTTAAATGGCATAACTGGGACAAGGGAGATTGGGGTTGGGGAAAGGAGAAATTCAGTTAGGGCACTTATTGTGGAAAGCAAAGATATTTCTGCTTTCTGCACTGAGGAGAGATAGGGATCTTCCTGGAATAGACATCTACAGAGAAATTTATTGGAGCCACTAACTCGGTTTAGTTTGTGAACTGTTTCCATCTACTTTTAAACTAGCTAAAACAGAATTCTTTAAATCAAAAAGGAACATGCCTATCTTTAAGTTACAGAAATGGTATTGATAGCTTCTCCACTGCCCACATGGTATGGTGACCATAACTATTTTTTTTAAGTTTTTTAAAAAATTTATTTATATAAGAACTTGGGTACAGGTCAGAGGTGTGGGGGGGTGAGAGAATTCAGAGACAGAGTGGGGAGCAGAACAGGCAGACGGACAAAAGACACTGCTGAGGGGAGCAGCGGGCGAGGCAGGAGAGGTCTGTCACGCCATGTGGGTTTCTCCTTGGCCGGCCGGGAATCGAACACGCACTGCAGAGGCTGCGGACAGCCTCACGGCGTGGTGCTCAACGCACTGTGCCACCGGGGAGGCCCTGCCATAACAATTTTGAGCCTAATTATAGATACCATAACCAAGTGACTGATATAAGTTCTGAGGATTATGAATGTTTTATATATATATATCAAATTATACATTTTATAGCTAAAAACATTTTTTATTTTGTCTCTCTCAAATTCCCTGGTTTGCTTCAGTTAATTTTTAAAGCTCATGTGCTTTGTGTTTGCCAAGGAGGAATTATTATTTCCTTGATTGAGTTGGCACTATATTCATAATTTGGAAAAGGGTTAGAGAGACTTTCTAAAGATCAACAGAGCAACTGTCTTCCGATTGTCCAAGGTCTAGTGGCAATCACAGTACTAATCAGAGTGCCCTGCTTTTTGCAGGATCTGAGTGCTAGGGTGGCTACTTTTCAGGGTTAAAATCTACTCACGTGTTTCCGATGTCTTTTGGCTCATTAATAAAGGCAAAGAAGAACTACGAGCAGAAATGCCGAGACAAAGATGAGGCAGAGAATGCTGTCCACCGGAATGCCAACGTGGCAAATCCAAAGCAACAAGAAAAGGTACCTGGGAGGACCACCGGCCTGAATAATCTAAGATTTAATATATCAAGCTAAAGCTTGAATAAGATTAATTCAAATGGACCTGCACTCTAAGCTCTTGGCAGTCCCTTTCTTTGGGTTATTAGGGATGTCTGAACTAGAAAAACCCTCGTCACATTTGGGGGAGTTAGGGAGGTGGGGATGTGCTAGAGAAATGTGGCTACAGGGGAGGGGGCCTGATGTTTTCATCTTTCTTCAAAACTCAGCTCCTGTCTTCTTTGTAGCCTAGCTGCGTCCTGCCTGGATGTATCTTAATGTTATAAAAAATCTAAATATAAAAAATTAATCCAAAAAGATACCTGCACCCCTATGTTTATTATAGCACTATTTACTATAGTTAAGATATAGAAACAACCCAAATGCCCAAAAATAGATGGCTGGATCAAGAAGATGTGGTACATATACACAATGAAATACTATTCAGCAACCAAAAAAGATAAACCCATGCCACTCACAGCAACATGGACAGAGCTAAAGGATCATGCTCAGTGAAATAAGCCAGAAGGAAAAAGAAAAGTATCAAATGGTTTCACTTATAGGAGGAATACAGGGGAAACAAATAAGGGATCAAGGGAAAAATAACAACAATAATAATAGTAAAACAAAATTAGCAGGCAACCATAAATAAGAGACATTCTGTGAGGGAGGGAGAGAAAAGGGGATCAAAACAGGGGAGAGAAGAGCACAGGGGACTATGGTGAAGGTTTACGCGTGAACTTCTGGCGGGAATTTTACGGGAAATACACAATGATGTAAGAGATATAAATAAAAAAAATCTGAATATAAGATTGTCAGCAACCAGGGGGCAGAGCTTGGTCTTTAGGAAGATATAGGATAAGACTTGATGGGTAATTTTCAGTGGTGGAGGTCAAGTTGACTGATTTGCTCATCAGAGAACCACAGCTAAGACTTGGACTAGAACTTGTGTCTCCACTCACTGTTTTAAAATCCCTTTTGTCTACAGAAGACTAATTCAGCTTTCCTGATCCCTTTTTTTTTTTTTTTGTCCTCACAGCTTTATGTGAAATTGGCAACCTCAAAGACTGCAGTAGAAGACTCGGGTGAGGAGGTTGCTCCTGGGTACAGGGCAGACTGCAGTGGGGCTTACATTATCCCAAATCTGTCCCTAAGCAAGGTGGCTTTATATACCTTACAACAGAGAATATATAGTAGGATTAACAAAATATCAGGAGGAAGAGAGAGAGAGAGACAATGAGAGGAATGGAAGGGAGAGAAAGAGGATGTTTCTGAACCCAGGAGAGTGGGAAGTAGATGAGGCAGCATTTTCGAGCCACTGCCTGCTTAGGTCTAGTGTAGCCTTACATGCAATTTAATGGAGGCTAGGGCGGGGGTATCATGGGCAGCTCCCTGGTAATCAGAGACTCACTCTGATATTGGGAACACCTATCTTAAAAGCCCATTTCAGTCCTATAACTCTTAACTGCTGTGAAAAACCAAGTTGCAGGACTCCGTCTTCCCTGAAATCTAAGACCCAAACCAGGTCTTTGCGAAGGCTTCTCATTCCCATGGCTATCCTCCATGGCTGCTATTACTTGGGAAGTCTCTAACCCTCCATAAGTAACCACGTGCCCTTATAGGGCTCACTGATGGTAGTTCTCTCATTGAACAGTTTTCCTGAAAATGGAAAGGGTGAGAGCTATTCAATTAGGTAAAGAAAACCCTGGCTGAGTTCCTCATCAGATTTCACTTCTCTCTCTTTTCAGCATTTCTTACTTATTACTTGTCCAATGTTTAACATGAAAATGAGCGTGCATAGGTGAATTGGTGGTGGAAATTCTATGGGGACTACACCGGAGAAAAGAAAGCAAACATGGTTTAAAAATGAACAATGATGTAAAATATATATAAATTAAAAAAATTAAAATCATTCTATCAAATGTTGAAAAATGAAAATGTGGCCCACCTTTGCTTAGTTCACAAAGATATTATGAAAATGAGAGATGAAAGGATGGCTGCCTAATGTTCAGAGCTCTGTGAGGCCTTGAAACCTCAGGTGCCTCTGCCAAGTTTTCTTTGCCATCTGGGATGAACCGGGTGGCAGGTGTGAGAGCCTGCTTCCAGCAGGGTTTCTGAACCCAGGTCCCTCCATTGCAGACAAGGCATACATGACACACGTCAACACTCTGGAGCGGGTCCGTGAAGAGTGGCAGAGCGAGCATGTCAAGGCCTGCGAGGTACCGAAACTGGAAGCTACTAGGGAAGGGGCGGGTCTTCCTCTTAGCATCTATTGAGTTTGCTTTTGTGGAAACAGTCTTCCCCCTTATTGTAGCAACCATGTTCTAGAGAATTGTTTGAGGGAAAATTGGAAATCAGGAATTTAAGAGGAAGGTGGAAGGAACTGGAATGTTTTCCCCCAAAGCTCGTCTGTCTCTCCTGGTATGACCATTCTAACCAACACTAGTGTTTAGTTAGGATGGGCATAAAAAACCTGAACCAATGAATGGTTGATTAAATAGTTACCTTTCTACAACCTTATCTCTTCTTTCTATGTGATAAGGAAAATGTAGAGAGCCAGCAAGCAGGCTTTGGAAATTTTTACCCTCTTTACACCTTTGATTTCACCATTACTCACCTTCATTTTCGGTACATGACCTCACTTAACAATTTTCCAGAGATATAAGCTATAACCCAGCAAGTTACTCAACTTTCTGTCATATTGTGTGAATATTTTTGTTTTCATCAGTGGTTCTCAAGGCAAAGAACAATGACCTGTTGCATCAGCATCACCTGGGAACTTGTTAGAGGTCCCAAATTTTCAGACCACCTCTAGATCTACTGAATCAGAAACTCTGAGATGGGCTCCGTAGTCTGTGTTAATAAACCCTCCCCCTGATGCAACCCTTCCCCTTGCTCCCGTTATAGTGGAAAAGGGGCTACTCCCACCCATCAAGATCCTATCCCACCACCTGGGCTCAGGTCCCATCCAAAGGGCTCTCCCCCATCCTCTTGGGTACAGCTCCCTTTACTGTGAATTTCTTCCATTGGTATTATCATTTGCACAAACTCAGCTTATTTCTGGCTTTAAAACCTACTGGTTGCTGCTTCCTCTTCTCTCTTCACTACCAGTCTTCTTGAAGGAATTGTGTCCACGTCCTCATTGCCTCTTCCTTTCCCAATCTATCTGAGTTTGTTTTCCAGAGATCCCCTTGGTGTGAGTTTCAAAGGGACTTTGCAATTTGTACTCTTATTTGACCTGTGTGTATTGATCCCTTCCTAAAACACTCTTTTCTACTTATTTCCTTAACTCCTCGCTCTTATAGAAAAGAATGAAATAAGGCTATTTTCATAAGATTTAAAAAACACACAAGGCAACATAATATACACCTTATAAATACAAAAAGGTGTATAAAGTTGGTAGAAACCTGCATGGAAATGATAATATTTAGGATAATGTTCATTTCTGGGAAAAGAGAATGGTGATAGAGATTGGGCAAATAACACAGGGGTTTTAACAGAATCTGGAGTAAATATGGCCAAAATTTTTGACAAAGCTCCATGGAAGATACATAGGCATTTATTATATTATTCTGTATGATTTTATGTGAAATATTCTTTAATAAAAATAATGTGATATTTCAATGCTTATATATAAACACTATTATGTATAAATACTAAAATATTTGCAGGGAAATAATGCATTTGCTTCAAAATACTCTAGATGAATGGTGAATTTGGTAGAGATGTAGATAAAACAAACTGGTTGTGAGATGATGTTTACGTTGGTAATGGGTATATGGGAATTCATTACACTCTTGTCTCTGTTGGCATATGTTTGAATTTTTACATGATAAAAAGTTTTAAAATGTAGTAGCATAGTACTCAATATCTTTTCAAATATTGATATGTAACATCCACTACTGAATAGAATAGTATCCAGATAGCCTGATTTTCCAAATGTTCATATCTGTTGATATTCAAAAAAACTATAGTTCAGGCAGTGAGTTTTATTTTACCCTTTTTTATTACATAAAATTTCAAACATATACCAAGATGGAAAACAAGTGCGAGGGCCCCCATGTACTCATCAACTTGCCTCAACAATTATGACCATCTTGCCAATTGAATTCATTCATTCCTAGGGGCAGGGTGTGGAGTCGGGGGGTGGGGTGGGGGGAGGAGCAATATTTTGAATCCAAGGTTGTGGCAGGCTGCCAAGGTAGAGATGCATGCTAGGCTGTTGGAAATGTGAGCTGGAATTCCGGTTAGAATATTAATCTGGGTTTATCATTACCTCTTACTCTCAGTACTATAGCCAACTCTGCTTATGTAAATATAATGTCAGACTCTGTTTGTATTTTTTTTTTTTTTGCATGTGGTCAGAGTTTATTAGCTTCCTTGTTGGGGGAAGAAGGGAAGGAGGATCCTAAATGGAACCATAAAATTGCAGAAAATTGACAGTTGACACTGTTTCTTATTCATAACCAATCTAGACAAGTGGTACCTTTCTCTGCATGTGTGTGTACATGTAGTTGTGTTTCTGTAGGTATTTGAAGCTCAAGAATGTGAAAGAATAAACTTCTTTCGGAATGCGTTGTGGTTACACATGAACCAGCTATCCCAACAGTGTGTCACGAGTGATGATGTAAGTAAGGCATCGCAGAGAATTGTGACTCTATATTTTGGATTCATTAGAGTAAAATAACTATAGATATTTATCACTTCACCTCTTTGTTTGTGGCTTAGAGGGGAACTGTGACTTGCCCAAGGCACCCTGGGCATTGACAGAAGATCCAGATAAATACCTGGTCTGCTCCAGTCTGTGTGCTCCTGGTCTACCTTATTACTGTGATTTTCACTTTAAGAAATTCAGAGTTATGTGGCCTCCTTGGGGTTAAGTCTCAGTACTACCACTGAGAAGGGGGCCAGGGAGCTAACCCACATATGGGGCAGCAGATATCTCCTCTCTCACCTGCTACTCCCCTCAGCAGTGTATTTCAGTAGATCTGCCTGTTCATCTTCTCACTCTGTCTCTGGTGAATCCTCTTACTCCCTGCACCTCTGGTCTGTACCCAACTCTTCGAAACCAAAATAAATAAAAAAAAATCTTTTTTTTAAAGAAGGAGAATGATAGTAAGGAAGAGTAGAATATATAATGGAATAAATTAAAAAAAAAAGAAATTCAGAGTTAGGGCAGGTGAGAAGAGGAGGCAGACCCAAATATTGCATGTTTTTTTTTTTTTTTTTTTAAAATTTATTTATTTATTTATGCAAGCACTGGGTACAGTCAGAAGTGTGGGAGGGTGAGAGAATTCACCAGAGCCAGAACGGGGAACAGAACAGACAGACCGATGAAATACACTGCTGAGGGGAGCAGCGGGCATGGCAGGAGAGGTCTGCACGCCATGTGGGACCCTTGCCGGCCGGCCGGGGATCAAACTGGCGCTGCAGAGCCCGCGGACAGCTTCGCAGCCTAGTGCACAACCGCTGAGCCACTAGGGAGCCCAAATATTGCATGGTTTATGGAAGACAGAGATGTCTTGAATGTGAGTCCCAGAGACCTCTTCAGTCTGGAGGGGGTCACTCCAGGACAGCAGCCAGCACTAGCAGACTGACCCATGCCCTTGGTCTCAGCATGTATTTCAGTGGCATTCCAGGGCCATTATCCAGGTTTAACTTGTGTGTGTAATCATGTCCCAGGTTGGGACCAGATTAAAGTTATCAGAACCTTGTTTGCTAAGAGATGGCCACTCTCATTTGATGGGACATTTACTTTAGAAGAACATTGAATGCCCAGAAAACCTGTTTATATGACCAGAGGAACTCTTCTGCAAGCAAAGTAATTGTCTTTGCATGTGTGTGTGAGGTTGATCTTCTGTCATGGAACTCGGTATCTATTTTCTTTTTCCCACTAGTAGTTTATTAAAATTATTTTTTGCCAAGGTTTTTGTTCTGTCCTAAAGATACATTTTTTTTTGTCATCTTAAAAATATTTAATGGTAGATATGTATCAGAGAAATCCCTTTATATGATTCTGAGACTTGGGAATATCTTTTTTTTTTCTTTTTAAAATGAAATTTGGAGAAGAGAGTTTGGTGTTCATCAAATCTTCTCTTTTAATAAGCACATCACCATGATTATGAACATACCACTACCTGAACTTACCTTCTTTTTGTTAGATGTATGAACAAGTCCGTAAGAGTTTAGAAATGTGCAGCATTGAAAAGGACATTGAGTACTTTGTCAATCAACGAAAAACTGGACAGACACCACCAGGTGAATGGAGTGGTGGGTTGGGGGTTATTTAAGTTATTCTGTGAGTCTTTCTTGGCACATGTTGTTGAGAATGGAAGACATCAGCCTCTTAATGTTTCTTGATCAACCCCCAGCACCTATCATGTATGAGAATTTCTACTGCCCTCAGAAGAATGCAGCTCCATCAGGAAAGGCTACTGGGCCTAACTTGGCAAGGTAATAACCAGCTTCATTTCACACGTGGAAAAATGTTCTTTTTTTTTTTTTTTTTTAAAGATTTATTTATTTATTTATACATACAAGCATTGGGTACAGTCAGAAGCGCGGGAGGGCGAGAGAATTCAGCAGAGCCAGAGCGGGGAGCAGAACAGGCAGAAGGACCGAAGTACACTGCTGAGGGGAGCAGCGGGCGGCAGGAGAGGTCTGCGCGCCACGTGGGACCCTCCTCCGGTGGCCGGGGAGCAGCCGGGGATCGAACCAGCGCCGCAGAGGCAGCGGGCAGCCTCACAACCCAGCGCCCAACCGCTGCGCCACCGGGGAGGCCCGGAAAAATGTTCTTAATCAATAATTTTATCATGGCTGTTCTAAGACATTAGACTATATCTACTAATGTATTTGCTTTGCAATCTTACTAGATTTTTGGAAATAGCATTTTTTTAATTAATATTTTATTTTATATAATTCTTACATCATTTTTCATTTTTGCACAATGTATATATTATCATTTTGGTTATATTCCCCATACAATTGCACCCTCCCCTTATTTTGACTCTAGTCCTTCCTCTCCCCTTCCCTCCCCACCCCGTGGTGTGTCTCTGGTTTACAGTTGCTTGTTGATTTTGATTTTTACTTTGTATTAATCAGTCTTGGAGATAGCATTTTTTAGGACAAGCATTCAGTGTCATCTTTACTTGAGTGTGATTATTACTTACGCACGAATTCTCTACCTTCCTTATAGCTGGTAGAAAGCAAGAGTTCAGCAAATTCTGGCCCCCTGTGAGTCAAATCTGACCTGCCTGATTTGGCGGGCCCCATGAGTTAAGAAAAATTTTTACATTTCAAAAATAGTTTAAAATGGTCAAAAGGATACTATTTTGTGACACATGAAAATTATATGAAAATCAGAGTTCAATATCCATATATAAAGTTTTATTTTGAAGATGGCCACTCATTGGTTTTGCACTAGAGTTATGACAGAATTGTCCTATGTGGCCAGCAAAGTCTAAATCTGTCTGACCCTTTATAGGAAAAGTTTGCTGCCCCTTATATAAAAGATTTTGAGAAAAGAAACCCTCTGTTTCACATACAGTCAGCTTTCAGTCTAAGATGTTGAATTTACAATCCAGTTTTAGTAAATATGGGAGTTCATGGGAGGATTACATAATCATTATCCGTATTTAAGAATGCCGGTCCTTGATCAAAACAGTTCACCAGTGTTAGCTCACGCATTCTTTCCAGTGGGGTACAAGCTGTTTACATTTCATACCCTGTGTGTGAGGAGACTGATCTACAAGAAGATCAGGGTACCTTGCCCAGATGTCTGAGATTTGAGTCCTGCCAGGATGGCTTGCAGGGGTGGGGCTGTTTTTCTGACCACCTGGCATCCTGCTTCTCAGCTTAGTGTGGTGTCTGCAACCAGATTCCTGTAGGTCAGTGACCTTCTGCTCCCCTGAACTTCTCTCTTGATCCTCCAGAGCAGAAGTCAGAGCTGATTAGAGGACTGCATGTTTGTAGTGTATAGTAGAAAATTCAAAAAATAACAAGAATGTATCTGAGAAACAATGGTTTTCATTTCTTGCAGGAGAGGACCTCCCCCGATTCCTAGAACTATACCAGGTAGGAGACCAAGAAAGACCTTTTGAGATGTTTATGTCTGGTTTTCTTCAAGGTCCACTAGCTAGAATTTTGAAATTAAGGGAATTAAAGGAGTAAATAGAACTAAGAAAAAATAAGTCTGTATTACACTTCTACTATAATACTATTTGTCACTGAGTGGGAGTGATTATTGGTGGGCCTTTTCGTAATTTAGGCAAGAGAAATCAATTATGGAAGTACCAAAAGAAACTTATCATAAGAGAATCTTTCCTAAGAGATTATCTCAATTTGGCACATGAGAGCAAAACCAAGTTGTAATTTCCTTGGGATTACACAGACATATAATTTGCAGATGGCACAGATGTCTAGAAATATGTAACAATATTATATATTTTGTGCACTGCCCATAACTGGATCTTTCACTAATTACTTGTCTTATTTTTCTTTGAATTCCTCTGACACCTCTGGGAAAACTCAACATTTTACAATATTTTTTATTGGTGTTGTTAGTAGTATTCTTGGATAATTGTAAAATCCAGAAGGGCATGCTATTTATTCTCCCTTGTATCACTCACAACACCCAACACAGCCCTGGACACATGGTAGGTATTCATAAAATATCTATTATTTGAATAAAAGAGGAAGATAATCCTACCCTTTGTTCAAGGGAATGAGGGAAGAAAGAACTTAGGCGACACTTAACAGTTTAGCAAAAATATAGTTAATCACTAAAATTGTGTCTTTGCACAATACCATAAGGATTTGTTATTTTATATATTGCTGCCTTATAATTACCACTTGATAATGTGCTGTTTTTGTATCTGTTTTTGAGGATGACTTTATGCTGCTGCTATCTGGGCATGGATGAATAAAGGACAAAGAAATCACAGTAGTGATTTCCAGAATGTTCTCTGATTTACAGTTATGATTACTGTACACACACACACATTTTTACAAAAAAGCAGTCACTAATTCCTCAGTGGAATGTCTTGATTTACAAAGGGCTAAGATCTGATCATGAAATAATATTAATGTTGCTCTGTGTTCTGTTCTTTGCAGATGATCCAGAATATTCTTTGGTTGATAACTACAGTTTGATCTATCAGTAACATCAATGGTAAGAACCTTTAATTTCCACATAATCAAGTTGCATTTAGACTGGTGATTGTATTTTTGAAATCTTTGAAGTCTCTTTGCAACACACTACAAGCAAGTCAGGTCTTGTACCAGGTGGGTGGCCCGGTGGGTGTGTGTTCCTACAGGATGACCCCTCTGAGTCCCACAACTGAAAGGGGACTGGGGATTGCTTTACAGATATTTGGATGAAATGCTCCATTAATTATTCTGTAACTCGTTTTCTGCTCTTGTTAAGTTCTTTCTTTCTTTCTTTTTAAGATTTATTTATTTATTTATACAAGCACTGGGTACAGTCAGAAGTGTGGGAGGGTGAGAGAATTCACCAGAGCCAGAGCAGGGAGCAGAACAGAGACCGACGAAATACACTGCTGAGGGGAGCAGCGGGCGGCAGGAGAGGTCTGCGCCCTACGTGGGACCCTCACCAGCGGCCAGGGATCGAACCGGTGCTGCAGAGGCTGCGGGCAGCTTCGCAGCCCAGCGCTCAACCGCTGCACCACCGGGGAGGCCCTCTTGTTAAGTTCTTTCATACCTACACACCAAAGGCAATGCTCACAAAGATCCTGAATGCTGAAGTTATTTAGACTCTGATGTACTCCATCATCCCTAGAGGGTACAAATCAAATAAAAAGGTGTCAATAAAAAGGAGGCAAATGAGGGCCTCCCCGGTGGCGCAGCAGTTGAGTCCTGGGTTGCGAAGCTGCCCGCAGCCTCTGCAGTGCTGGTTCGATCCCCCGCTGCTCCCTGACCACCAGAGGAGGGTCCCACATGGCGCGCAGACCTCTCCTGCCCACCGCTGCTCCCCTCAGCAGTGTACTTCGGTCTTTCTGCCTGCTCTGCTCCCCGCTCTGGCTCTGGTGAATTCTCTCACCCTCCTGCGCTTCTGACTGTGCTCAGTGCTTGTATAAATAAATAAATAAAAAAAAAGGAGGCAAATGATATCATAGGTCACACTGTGCCAGGTCAGTACTGCTTGGAACTAGAGAACCACAAGGCTCCCCAGAGCACAGCTACTAAACAAAGCAGGACTGCGAGGATCAGTCTTTCTTCCTTGGCATTTAGGTGCAGGCAGGATGCTCCATGCCAATGTCAGTCTTCACAAATGTGAAGGAATGCCTTCATAGCCAAATTAGCAATAGTAGGTGAAACTCTTTGTAAAATATAATTCTTTCAAACCCCAAGGACATATCTTGACAACACATGCATATATAAGTGAAGAAAAAGCCTTAAAGTATGTTTCTCAACAGGCAAGTTTTTCTACGTATTTATCCGTGTGTTTGATTTGTCTGCAGTGACAATTTATTGTTTCTTTAATTAGAAGCTGTTTTTAAAGGGATGATCCTCTTGCGTGTTCCTGGGTCAGGGGTGGGTGGATGTAGGAAGTGAAAATGGACTGAAACAGTCTCTTTCATCTTTCCTGATTTGGTGTTGGTGACTCTTGCCATCATTTATGAAACCAGGTTTTAACAGCACCCCACAGTAGTTTTCCTTAGTGTTTTTTCTTTTTTTAAAGATTTATTTATTTATGCATACAAGAGCTGGGGTACAGGCCAGAGATGCAGGGGGTGAGAGGATTCACCAGAGACAGAGTGGGGAGCAGAACAGGCAAATCTACTGAAATACACTGCTGAGGGGAGCAGTGGGCGAGACAGGAGAGGTCTGCTGTACCATGTGGGTTGCTCCATGGCCGACTGGGGATCAAACTTGTGCTGCAGAGGCTGCGGATTGCTTCATAGTGCGGTGCTTAACCCCTTGTGCCACCAGGGAGGCCCTCCTTAGTGTTCTTGACCATCAAAAAAGTCAAAAAGTGCTTTGGAGTGAGCACATCAAACATTGCTTTCCTTCTTCCTGAATCAATACCTGTTATAGCCAATTAATTTGATAAGATGGAAGCCATATTGTGTTGATTAGATAGAAATCATCAGTTAGTACCTATAAGTTCTTAAATTGCTTAAGAAATATATTTAATGTTAAGCAACTTTGCTTAAAAAAGAATAAAAATAAAAGACCAAATACCACATCCCCAAACTATTTTAAACTAACCAATAAATGTAGTCTTTATAATCAGTCATCACTTTTTTCAGATTTATTTTCTATTTATTTATTTATGCATACAAGAAATGGGATGTAGGCCAGAAGTGCGGGTTGGTGAGAGAATTCACCTGAGACAGAGTGGGGAGCAGAACAGGTAGATCTACTGAAATATGCTGTTGAGGGGAGCAGCAGGTGAGACTGGAGAGGTCTGCCATACCGCAGACCTTAGCTCCCTGGCTGGTGATTGAACTCATGCTTCAGTGCCTGGTGATAGCTTGATAGTGCTGAGACTTTAACCCCTATGTCACCAAGAAGACCCACCAGTCATCATTTCTTAAGAGGCAAGGCCCATATTAAAGAGATAGCAGGAAGATGAGAAATCAATGACTTTGGACTCAAAGGAGAAGCCCACTCTCTGGAATAGCTTGTAGATGATGGTTATGGGGAAGGGCATTGGCAAGTTCAAGAGTTTTTTGAACTTCAAGGTAATTCTTTCCTTTTGCCCTCACCTGTGTGGATAAAATATATATTCTAGTTAAATAATAGTATTTAACCAACAAGTCTACTTCCTCAGAGCCCAAGAATCTGCAGTTTAAATTCAAGATGCTGGGCCTCCCTAGGGTGCAGTGGGTTGAGCACAGTGCTGTGAAGCTGTTTGGAGCCTCTGTAGTGCAGGTTCAATTCCCGGGCTGCCAGGGAGAAAAGTACATGGCGTGGCAGACCTCCCCTGTCTCGCCTGCTGCTCCCCTCAGCAGTGTCCTCAGTAGTGTCTGCCTGTTCTGCTCCCTACTCTGTCTCTGGTGCATTCTCTCACCCTCCTGTGCCTCTGACTGTACCCTAGTTCTTGTATAAATAAATAAATATTTGAAAAAAAAAGAAATGTAAGGGAAGAGTTTAAAAAAAAATTCAAGATGCTAATGCTAACACATATACTTGAGTTATATTATTTCCTTGGGATTTATTCGTGGCTGTGCCACCTCAATGAATACAAGTTCAACACACATGTGAAATTGACCGAAATTGAGAATTTTAAAGAAGGGAGTCTACATTCATCTATAACTTAGACACATTACAACATTTAATATAGTTTGCATGAGTCTTTCGAATTGAAATTTCAATAGGAAAATTTAAGAATTTGCAATTAGTTCTGAGTTTTGATTTTAGCAGCTATTCCCGTTTCTAGTTCTAACATGTTTAGGTAAATACGATTACAATTTGTGAATTTAAAAATATATGTATCAAGAATATAAATACATGTGATTTACCACAATGAAGTGCTATTATCATCACAATTCGTTATTCATCCCTTGGATTGTCCATTCCTCGTCATTTGTTTTCACTGGTCAAGGACACTTATTCTCATTGAATACACTCTCAAAGAAGGAGGAGCACTTACATGAAGGATCATGCCAATGAAATTTCTTCTGTTATTTTCTTTCAGAAAACAAAGCTTTTCCCATTGATGCTTCTGTGGCATGGAAGGAGGCACTCAGAGCAGCAGAATCTATAGAAACGATGCCAATCATGAGAACTTTGAAGTGAACCCTTGCTGTCATTTTTTGATATTATAAATTTATGGTAGACATTTAGTTCAACTTAGGCTAGTAGATTACTAAAATTTAAAAAAGAAGTTTACAAATTGCCCCAACCTGAAGAATCATCCTTTCCTACTTCTTAAGTTTTGAATGAATTGTGTTTTCCATTTGATCCTGGAAATTCTCTGGATTCAGAGCCTTGACTCTGGGCAGGGGGAGGCTTGTGTGGGAGCTGCACAGAGCTCTGAGTCACCAATTTGCAGAATCTCCTTTGGTTTTGAGGGCATCACAGGTATGGAATTTCCACAGTGACAGGCACTCTGTGGTGCAAGATTAAAAATTACCTTCCTGTTTGGTTGAAAGACTTAGAGGTCATCTGATCACACTTTCTTATTTAACAGATGATGAAATGAGGCCAACAAGTGGGAAATCGATTTCCTTGCTGTTCTCTCAGCTGATCAGGGATAGAACCAGCACTAGAGAGCAAGCCTGCCCCACATCAGCATTCCTCTAACCCGTCCTGGGGCTGTGATACTCGTGTTGAAATTTAAGATGCCAAATGTTTTCACCAGTATCTTTTCAGTTGGGAAAATTACCAGGGTTTAAAGGTCAGATTTATTTTTACGTGGCTTACTCTGTGTACTGAACTTCAGAGCACAGTACTTAATAGAATGAAAGAAACCAGTGACAATAAAACATGCCATTATTTATGTGTCACTAGGAAAGTTGGAGGGAGGGAGAATTGACAATTAACTTGTGATTGCTAGTGGCCAAGTACATTTGAACTTAAGATGCAAAAGTGTGAGAAAAGTACATCCTAGAATCAGTGATATATGATATTTTGAATGTGTTCCTGAAGGGAATTTTAGAGACACAAAATCAGTCCTCAAACCTGGGTCTTCACAGAGAATCTTCCCCTTCTTAGACCTTGAAATTTTTAGTGTCAGTACTACCCGTTTACAAACATCCCTCTGTTATCTACACATAGCAGGGAGATTATATACCTTTTAGGCAATATTCATACACTGAGAAAATGATGCGTTTTAGCTAATGACAAGTTGAAATCATACTGGCACTTACTGAGCATGTTGTACAGTTCTATTACCACACCCAAGAAACCCAACTTTTTTCCTCTTGTGTTCTGTGTAATGGCTTTCCCAGAACTGTGGACAAGGTGATTGAAAGACTGATTATTTTCCCCTTTTAATGTATCGAGCCACTGAAAGTGACAACTTCTTACTATGACAGGAAGCTTGCATCAGCTGGATATCCTTTTGAGAAACTGAAGTTTGCAAAGGGCCTTTGACTTCCCCAAACTTAGCACACTCAGGAAATTTTCCTTTGAATTTGGCAGACTCTCTTTGGGACTTTATTTATTTTTGGCAGTTCCTCAAGGATTTTACTTCTCTCTCTGTTGGTCTTGTAATTGGTGGAAAAGTGCTTTATGAATTGAAAATAATATTTTAGTATGAAGTAAATAAAGTTTTTGGGGATTTGGAATTAATCTTGCATTTTTTTCTGTCAACACTCTCCTTCTTCCAAGAGCTATCTTGTCATATTTGCTATTGTTAGACACTGAAAGATGAACTGCCAGTCACAGAGGTCACTCAGAGGCACTTCCTACTAGCCCTGCTGTGCCAGTAGCAGGGACACTTCCCTTCACACCAAGTTAATGACCAGCTGGGTTACTTGATAAACTGCCCATCGGGAGTATTTTGCTTCACTGCTGTTTTTTTTTTTTTAAAGTTAGAGTAACTTTGGTTTATAACATTATATAGGTTTCAGGTATACAGATTTATATATCAGCATCTGTAGAGACTACATTAATTTCATCACTAAAAGTCTCTTTCCCATCATTGCCATCTAATTAACCCTTTTACCCAATTTACCTTCCCTGCTATCCTCTCCCTTTCTGGAATCTACTATTTTGTTCTTGTAGCCATTCCCTTGTTAGATGCTAGAATCTTTAAAAATGTTTGCCAGTCACTATGGAAAGCTGTGTGGAGGTTCCTCAGAGCATTAAAATGGAGCTACTACACGATCCAGCAATCCACTCCTAGGAATCTGCTGAAAAGACACAAAAACACTGATTCAAAAGATAACCTGCAGGGCCTCCCTGGTGGCACAGCGGTTGAGTGCAGTGCTGTGAAGCTGTCTGCAGCCTCTGGCAGTGCAGGTTCGATTCCCGGCTAGCCAGGGAGATTCCCACATGGCACAGCAGACCTCTCCTGTCTCGCCTGCTGCTCCCCTCAGCAGTGTATTTCAGTCCTTCTGCCTATTCTGCTCCCTGCTCTCTCTGGTGAATCCGCTCACCCTCCCGTGCTTCTGGCCTGTACCCCAGATTTTCTATAAATAAATAAATCTTAAAAAAAAGATAATCTGCACTTCTATGTTTACTGCAGCACACTTTACAAAAGCCAAGATATGGAAACAATCCAAATGCTGCCAAATAGATGAATGGACCAATAAGTGGTATATTTATACCATTGAATATTACTCAGCAAATAAAAAAAGACAAACTCATGCCATTTGTGACAACACGGTTGGAGCTGGAAAAGATTATGCTAGCCAAAATAAATCAGAAGGAAAAAGATAAGTACTGGATGGTCTCACTCATGTGGAATATAGAGACACCAAACAATAAGTCAAGAAAAAATCAAAACTAGCAAGCTGACCATAGAACTGAGGAGAGGAAGGGGGGTAGCACAGGAGGGATGAATCCAAGGGAATATGGTGATGGTTCACAGGTGATATGGTGGTGGGAGAACAATGGGGATTACAAAGTTGTAAGGAAAAAAATTAATAAAAGTTTTTATTTTGTTTGCTCATTTTTTTTTAAAGATTTGTTTATTTATTTATTTATACAAGCACTGGGGGTGCAGTCAGAAGCATGGGAGGGTGAGAGAATTCACCAGAGCCAGAGCGGGGAGCAGAGCAGGCAGAAGGACCAAAGTACACTGCTGAGGGGAGCAGCGGGCGGCAGGAGAGGTCTGCACGCCATGTGGGACCCTCCTCCGGTGGCCAGGGATTGAACCAGCGCTGCAGAGGCTGTGGGCAGCTTTGCAACCCAGCATTCAACCACTGCTCCACCGGGGAGGCCCTATATTTGTTTCTTTATCTAACATATGAATGAAATATGATGACTATCATTATAATACCCTCTGGGTCCATCCATGTTGTTGCAAATGGCACAGTCAGACCCACTCTAGCTCTGGAAGGCACAAAAAAACAAGATGGGCATCATTGTCAGGAGTGGTGTTGAGAAGGTTATTGAGCTCCAGAACATTCCCAGTACTAGGGACTAATACCCTGGATTGGCAACTGAGGTAACCAGGCTGGACATTTTTGGTACTTAATTGCACTACCAGCTAATTGCTCAAGAAACTGAAATAACTGAGAAATGACATACTCTATTTATAATTAAAATGCATGTAATATTTAGTAGTCATAAATGATGAAATAATTAAAGTCTTGTACGGTGATGTCCAGGCAGTAATTATTATTTGTGTCTAAGATTTCACCTATGAGGAACTGCCACCAGGTGGCAACAGAGACTCGAATCTAATGGGGAAGGGCGTTTCAGATCCACCCAGGTAGTCTTCAAATTTATCAGCTTACACTGAAGCCCTATTATGACAAGTACTGTTTCAGATACTGATTGACTCAGGAATCACCATCAAATTATAGACATTTTTGAAGGAAAGAAAAAAAACCAAACTGTCAGTAGTGTATTATGATGAATCCAGTCTATTTTATTTTTTTTAAAGATTTATTTTATTTATGCATGTAAGAACTGGGATATAGGTCAGAGGTGCAGAGAAATTCACCATAGACAGAATGGAGAACAGAACAGGTGGGTCTACAGCAATACACTGCTGAAGGGAGCAGCGGGAGAGACATGAGAGGTCTTCTGTGCCATATGTGGGTTACCTCCCTGGCCGGGGATTGAACTCATGCTGCAAAGGCTGGAGATAGCTTGACAGTGCTGAGACTTAACCCTTGTGTCATCAGGGAGGCCATCCTGAATCCAGTCTATTTTAAATAAAACATTTCTGATATTCACTTTGATCCCAATGTGTACAGAATATTGCAAACAGAGTAAACCTGGCTTCCTGTCTCACGCTGTCCTTCCATTTATACTACACAACTGCACTGATTCAAATCCCAGCTTCACCAGTTACTAGTCGTGTGACTGTAGGCAAATAATTCAATCTCTCTGAGGTTTTATTCCTGTCTAGAAAATGAGAATACAGCTCTTATTTCAATAAAAATTTAAAAAAATGAGATTAAAGTTACTGTTATTTTGTAGGTTTGTCATGAGACTCAGATGAGTCTTTATATGAAAAGTATTCAGAATATTTCCTGGCTGAAAGTAAATGCTAAAGAAATGGTGACTACTGCTGCTGAGGAATCAGTGGTAGCTGTGAATTAGGCCATTTTTAACCTTGCCAGCTGTCAATGTGAACTTTTAAATTTTGATAGAAAGTATTTGTGTATAGAAAAGATACTTGTCATTATTTTGCTCTTTGAAATTAATGCTTTAATTATTTAAAGGATTATTTAATTAATCTTCAATTTATTAAAGTCATAAACATTTTAAAATTTAGTTTTTAAGTCTTCAAGTTATCTATAAATCTCAACATTCTGAATATAAATCTAATAGGTTTTAATAATCACTTTCAAAGGGGAGATTTAACATTTGTTCAAGTTTAATGGATCAAACTTTATCAAACAATCTCTCCCATTTATGCGACTTAATTACTTGCCCTATTCTAACGTCCAACAAATTCAGTTCATAGTGTGGGCACATAGGTTGTTATTTATCATAATTTGTGCATTGTGTTTGTTTCCCAACTAAACGTTGAAAGGAAGGGAGAGTAGAGCCAATTCTGCTTTGCTAAGTAGTGACAGACACAGAGAACTTAGAAGGTCAAAAGGGAATTGAGTTGGTAGAGGGCGGAGAGGATATTCCAGACTGAGAGAAATGCCTAAGAAGTGATTGATAGTAATGGTAGTATGAAGATTCTGTTCATATTTGAAACACACCTATACACACACGCACACACACACACGGTAAACAAACGTACATTTTAAAAAGCTCAATAACTTTTTTGCTGTCCTTGAGGATTTGGGATTAAAATACATAAAACTGTATATTACATGATCAATTAGCTCATATATAAGACACTGCAGACTGCATCTCTGAAGTCTTCATTTCTCATGCTATATTCCTGGATTTTTGTAGGGAGAGCTACAGAAGGATGGATAGGTTATTTTCCACCTACACATGCTATCTCAACTCTCTTACTCCACCATCAGTCAACACAACTCGCATTCACTCTTTCCAGTCATAAAATATTTATTGAACATCTACTAGCGCTGGGCAGTGTTCTATAGGCCCTTGGGATGCTTTGGGGGAACACATAAAAAATCCTGTCCTTAAGGATATCACATTTGTGAAAAGGGATGTTCCAGGCTGACTCAATCAACTCTGTATCTGATGCCAGGACCTATATCTTATGAATTTTTCACTTCTAAAAATTATTTACAGACAGGCAAGAGCCATCTTCTATAAGAGCCGCATAAAGGCAAATTTTTTCTGTCTTCTCTCCATAGTAACCGGTCAGCTTGTCTAAAAGTGAATGAACTTTTAAGGAATATACTCCATTAACCAATCCTAATTCTTGGTAAACTGTTTTTGAAATCCTACCCTTCTTCCTCCTTCTTTAAAACTCCCTTAGACAAAGACCCCAGTGGGACACAATCTGGGCTGTTACTTGTGACTGTGTATCCCAATTTAAGAAACCTAAAACCTGGGGCCTCCCAGGTGGCACAAGGGGTTAAGCTGCAACCTATGAAGGCGTCTGCAGCCTCTGCCACACAAGTTCATACTCCCCGCCACCAGGGAGCAACCCACGTGGCACAGCAGACCTCTCCTGACTAGCCTGCTGCTCCACTCAGCAGTGTACTTCAATCTGCCTGTTCTGTACCCTGCTCTGTCTCTGATGAATCCTCTCACCCCCACCCCCACACCTCTGGCCTGCACCCCAGCTCTTGTATGCATAAATAAAAAATAAAAAAAAAACCTAAAACCTGAAAAAAACCAACACCGCTGTTGTTTCATTTTAGCTATGTGGACCATGGGCACTTTTTAGCCAGGCTGATGACAAATTATATAGCATTTTCTTTTCTTTCTTTTTTAAAAAAGATTTACTTATGCATGCAAGAACAGGGGTACAGGCCAGAGGTGTGGGGGGTGAGAGGATTCACCAGAGACAGAGTGGGGAACAGAGCAGGCAGACTGCCAAAATACACTGCTGAGGGGAGCAGCGGGCAAGTCAGGAGAGGTCTGCTGCCCATGTGGGTATCTCCCTGGCCAGGGATTGAACTCGTGCTGCAGAGGCTGCGAAAGGCTTCATAGGTTGCATCTTAACCTCTTGTGCCACCAGGGAGCCCCCTATATAGCATTTTAAAAGGAACTAAGCGTTTTGCAAAAAAAGAAAAGGTAGAGCTGGAAAAGAGAAGTGGAGCCAAGTTCTTCACATCTGGAACTTTAAAATGAAGCAAGATGTGTAAAATCCACACTAAGATTACTTTTATCAGTCTTGACAGCTTATTTTGGTGTTTCCTTTTAGGTCACATGTCTCTTTCTTGGACTGGGAATTTGTAACGTCGTAAGAATAACAACCGTTTGGGGCCTCCCCGGTGGCGCAGCGGTTGAGCGCTGGGTTGCGAAGCTGCCCGCAGCCTCTGCAGTGCCGGTTCGATCCCCGGCCACCGGAGGAGGGTCCCGCATGGCGCACAGACCTCTCCTGCCGCCCGCTGCTCCCCTCAGCAGTGTACCTCGGTCCTTCTGCCTGCTCTGCTCCCCGCTCTGGTTCTGGTGAATTCTCTTACCCTCCCGCGCTTCTGACTGTACCCAGTGCTGTATAAATAAATAAATAAATCTTAAAAAAAAAAAAGAATAACTACCATTCACTGATTTGCCTGCTATCAGCCATCTTTCACCATCAGTCCCTTTAATCTTCTTTACAACAGAAAAGGCAAGCATCACCAAAGACGTGCACACCTGCGGATGGACACCATGGTTCCTGCTGTTATAGGGCAGCCCTGATATTGAACCGGTGCGTGGCTGCGGGTCCTCACCCGCGCGCTTAAAAGGGACTTATTAATACTCCACTACAGGCACACACAAAAGGTTAATAAAAGGTTTATTTACAAGGGAAAAGGAAATAAGGAAAATGTACAGTACAACTCAGGGAGAAAATAGGGCAATAAAGTCTTTAATGCGTCCTACCCGATCCGCCGACCTGGAAACCCAAAGGCACTCTCAGAGGTGGCTGGACCTGGGAGCTGGCAGAGAGCCAAAATGGGGGACCTCCCCCCCCAAAGCCCACGTGTCTGGCTTTTACCAACCTGGCTGCTGAACCCCACCCTCAGGGCCCAGCCACCTTCCCTTTGGTGGGGATGGGATTTGGAGTTCCCAGTGTCTTTGGCTTTGGCCTGGGGTGGGGGTGGAGTCCACAAAGCCTGTATATAATTAGCTTTAGGACAGCCTTTTCCCCCTAACAATTCCTACAGCTCAAAGCAGAGATTTAGACTAAATGGATCCGTACATCGAACGGTCCAAACAAGATTGACAAGCATCGCTCCAGGACTCCTTTAAGCCAAGGTGGGTGAGGTGTGAGAGCGCACTTGGGGTCCCCATATTAGGGGGAAAAGGATGTCCTAAAGCTAATTCCATACAGGCTTTGCAGACTCCACCCTCACCCCAGGCCAAAGCCAAGACACTGGGAACTCCACATCCCATCACCACCGAAGGGTTGCCCTATAACACCCACAGAGTTCCGCCCCGCAGAGCTGCAGAAACACCCCCACCTCCCTGGACTTGGCCCGGGGCTGCCCGGGGAGGCCCAGGCGCCTGCGCGCCAGGGCCGGGGCGGAGCCTGGGCGGGGGGCGGGGCCACCGTCATCCAGTGACAAGACACCCCAGGGCAGTTTGTCCTCCTTTGCGACCCGTAGACGCTCCGAGTCGCGCACTTCCCCAGGAGTGGTGGAGGTTCGATCACGTGACGGGGGCCGGAACTGGGCAAGCTGTGAGAAACGCAGGGTTTTGACCAAAACAAACGGCGACGCTGCCGCGGCAGGGTCTATGGCCGAGGCGGTGAGGCCCACTCGCCGGGCCAAGGCCAGCCGGACTAAAACCAAGGTGAGGCTCTGTCCGCCCTGTCCCTCTTTCCAGAGGTTCTGGCATGTGTACTCTGTCTCCTTTTTGCGCTCTTTGGCCTCACCAGTCCACTCCCCATCTCCTTAGCCCTTCGCATCCTGGCCCCCCACCTCCTGGGTATCTGCTCCACCACCCCTCCACACCTGCCCTGCTCCTCTGTTCCTCCTCTACCTGTGCCGGACTTCGTTGGCGCCCATTTCTTTTTATTCCTCTCTGACCTCACTGGGCTCTTCCTTTTCTGCTCCCTTTTTGCTCATCTGGGTGGGCATTCTTGTGAAGAAGCAGCTTTTCTTTTCTCAGCCTCATTTCTGACTGTCTCTTTTCTCCTTCATAACCTGGAAACATTTTAACGGACCTGTCCTCCATGCTGAGAATATATTCTTTGCCAGAGAGTTATGGATAGCGACATGTGCGGAGTAGGGGAAATCCCCCTTCCTCTCTGTTCTTCGCGGCTGACAAATAATCGAGTTAATGTTGGACAGACCAACAAGGGAAGACCATCAAAAGTTTAATAATAACGTGTACGTCCTGCACACATGGACAAAATCTATAAAATTGAGTGATTTCCTGAAATGACTTAAATCACATTTTAAGATAACATCTGCTAAAAACAGATGATGTTGTGGGGGAAGGGGACGGTCATTTTTTTGAGAGATTACCGGGCAAGGCATAGTAAACAAGGCTGTGATTTTTATGCAGATATAAGTTACCGCCTTCTCCTTTGATAGCAGTTAAGAAATTTGGTGTTCTGAAATTAGTTAGAGAGCTGTAGTCTTTCTAGTTCAGCAGGGAAATACGCTTACACTTGAAGATTTTCTTTATAACTGTGCAGTTCATTCGAACCGACTCGGGATGGGCAGGGGTTAGGTTGCTGATTCCTCTCACCCCCCCCCCCATGTGTAACTTTTGACTCCCCCAAATCCTAACTACTAATGACCTGCTGTTGACCATAACAAACAACACATTTTGTGTATTAAGTGTGTTATATGTTGTATTCTAAAAGTAGGCTAGAGGAAATGTTATGAAAATCAAAAGGAAAAAGGAATGTGTATTGATATTGATTTATTGATTACCGTATTAATACTGTAAGTTTACATCTTCTGTCTACAGGAAATCCAAGTATAAGTAAACCAAATCCTTGTTGTTCATAGGACAACTGTAAATGTTGCTTATAAAAGGGCAACCTCCACCCAATTTGGGGGCCCTTTTTATGAATTATCCTTAAACCAAAGAGACTTCTTTTGGAGGACAAGTCAGAGAGTAGATTGTGGTGATATGTCTCTTAACTTTAAAATTCAAGGTGATAATGCAGCTGCTGCTGTTTATTTCTAGTTGTTTATGTTGGGGTAATAAAATCCAGAAATTAAATCATGGCAGGACTCACAGTAGAGATGAATTTGAATTTTTTTTTTTTTTTGGTTCCCTTTGTTGGTTTCTTTTGTTTTTAGGTGGAGTCTTGGGTTGTTTTTCTGAAGTGACAGTTCACAGTGAGAAGATTAAATGCTACCTCTGGATGACTGGATATAGATAATTTTGTTTACCTGAGACTGAAAGTACATTCAGGAAATAATGAGGGTGATATTACAAGCATAGGAAATTTCCTTTCCTGCAAGTGGGTGATGTTCCTGAGCAGGTGTCACTTAAAAATGATATCAAGTTCTGATTTTCTCATGGGATCATGGTTTAAGCAGGAGGCTAGTATTCAAAGCTACCATTTTAATAAGCTATAAACAACTTAGTTGAATCCCTTTCATTATGATGCCTTTTTAAAAGTCCACAATGGAGTAAGGCACAACAGCATGCCACATCTGTAATGAGTTACTATCTGGGAGGGGAAACCAATTTGCTACTGTGGCGGAAGGAGATGAAATTTCTCCCTGTCCCTCTTGGGTCTTCATGGGCTGGTTGAATAATTAAATTAACATCAGACACATTAACAGGAGGAAAAAAACCCAAATTTAATTAATTTCTGTGTATGGAGAGCCTGAATAGACGTGAGGGGCCTGAGGGAGGAAAGGTTAAATGAGACATATATGTCTTTCTGAGCTACGGAATGGAATAGGGGCCAGGGACTTGAGAGGTGGATGTTTCATGTGACGAAGAGTAGGTGTATGTTAATTAGTTGTTTGCCTGGCCATCTAGGTAGCTTATTCAGATAGAAAGGTTATTTCTGGTAATAACCCTAATTCTGGACAAGCCCTTTTAAAGGTTTACATTCTTCTAGGTTGTTAGCAAATGGTAAAAGTTTCTCTTGCGCCTGCAGGGTCTTGAGCTCAAAATATTCCATATGCCAAAGTGGCACATCATGGAGAGGCCTGTCTGAATTTCTTCACTACATAATTTCAGAAAATTTTTTTAAGATTTATTTTTATTTATTTATACATATAAGAACTGGGGTGTTCCCCATAGGCCAGAGGTGCGGGGGGTGAGAGGATTCACTTGAGACAGAGTGGGGAGCAGAACAGGTGGACCTACTGAAATGTGCTGCTGACGGGATGCTGATGGGAGCAGTGGGTGAGGCAGGAGAGGTCTGCTGTGCCATGTGGGTTAGCGACCTGGCTGGGGATGGAACTCATGCTGTAGTGACTGATGATAGCTTGATAGCACTGAGATTTTAACCCCTGCACCACCAGGGGGGCCCCGATTTCAGAAACATTTTATAAAGTGAAGTAAATTTTGCATTGCAGTGAGCTGGAGAAGAACTATGTAGACAGAGAGGGAAGAAAAATCAAAGGGCAACCTTGCATAGGTCCCTGAGCCAACAATACAATCATACACAACTTGTGTGTTACCAGCAGAATTTTAATTTCTAGTTTTGTTTTCAGTGAATGATGCAACAAAAGCAAGTTAAATGAAAAACTGAAGGTTATGCAGCTAGTGAAAAAACTCAAAGCCAGACATTTTAATTTTCCACTTAGTGGCTTAATAATTTTACATGATTTAAAAATGGTTGGTTAAGAGGGTTTCTGTCAAGTTATTTTGTTTATAACAGGGTATCTAAAATTAAACTTTAAAATCTATTGTGAAAAATCAATTGCTCATTTTATTTGACACATTTCAGGCAATACTCCTACATAGATATACATTGATTTATTTTTCATCTGTTAACTTTCATAAAGGCTTCATTCCATGGAATGATCAAAACAGAAATCCTTGATAGGTTTTTTTCTCACCCTCCAGTCTGATCAATCACTAAGTCTTGCCAATTATATTCCCTAACTTTTCTCTTGAATCTGCCCATTTTTCTCCATCCTCACTAGCACCACCATTCTCCAAAGATTTCTTGGATATCTACTGAACTGGCCTCTAATCATTCTCGCTGCCAGTTCTCTAAACTAAAGCTGTTTGATAGTCTTATAAACAAAAAACAAAACTGATCAGTCTCTTCTTTAAAAGCTCACAAATATTTCCCATCACTTGACACTACAGAATGGACTGAGGACTGAAGGCTCTTGCTTCTGTCTTTTTCTTCAGACTCAGGCCTATCACTGTTTTGATCTTCGATTATTTCTGTCCTTTGCTGCTTCAGGATCTTTGCACATGATGTTTCTTTTGTACTCACATGCTTCCTCCAGTTCTTCACCTAATTACTGTTCATTCAAGAAGTCTCCTGGAAAACAGTTCTTCCTTAGAAAAGCTTTTCGGGGACTCTTCTGTTACTACCCTCTCCGGTAGCACTCTGCAACCCTTTGTGACATTCATCTTATTTGTCACCTTGTCAACTTCTCTGAACTCACGAGGGAGTGACCTGTCTTGTTCTGAATAACCTTCCCAACCCTTCTAGGCATGTCAGTGTCCGTTGAATGGACAAATGACAGTATTGAAGAATATTCTTAAGTTTTATAAGTAGAAGCATTTAGTAGATTTCCTTGATACCAGCAAGGTCCTCATATTTATCAATCTAGAAAACTAATTCTTCTTTTAGAATAAATAGATTCAATTTTTAGTCCTGGCTATCGTTGGCATTTACTATAAAGTCCTACATTGAAACCTTTATCGTCTGTGTATGATTTACGTACTGTTTACTGAGCCATGAAGTATATCCAAGGCTCATTACAGGAAGTGAGTAGTATCATGTGCTGTTGCCTTTAGGTAATTTGACTGGCTTCTGCATTTTACTCCATAGCTGACCTGCATTCCTCGACATTACTCATCTGGTAGATGGCCTCACATTGTTATGTGGCTGTTACCTGATGCTTAATCCTAATAATATTTTTGTTCTTTTAGTATCATCTGCTAAAATATCTCCACACCTTAGGACCCTGACTTTGTTGATCCTGGTAGACTAGGGATTAAAAACAGTAGATTTTTGGATTTGGACTTATGGCAGAAACAGTATCTTTTATAGTCATGAACGTATTTTTATGGTTAATATTAGATTCTAAATCTGAACAGGTCACCAATAGTGAGAGCATATGTAAGTGCTAAGGATAGACTAAGGTGTGTCCCAGAAAGCTGATAATAGAAACAATGACCTTTAAATCCCAATCCCTTCTTGTCCTTATTATAGAAGTTTCTACCTTTTAATCCCTTTCTCCTATGAGTGGTTATAAGAGTGAAATTGAGGGGTAAAGGTGTCATTATTAGGCCTTTTTTTTTTTTTTTTTTGCCTCCTAATGAGGACAGTGACTACCCTCTATGTTCCAGAAGCTGTTCTAGGCACCTGGGGATGTGAGCAGAAGAAAACAACGTGGCCTTAACGGAGCTCACAGGGTGGAGGGAAAAGATGAAAACCCATAATAAATAAATATATATATATATTTATTTATTATATATGAAGATGATAAATCCTATGGAAAAAAGAAAAAGAACAGGGAAAGGAGTTGGAAAGTATTGGCAAGAGATTGACATGTGTTGCAGTGTTTAATTGGTGGTCCAGGTCATCCTTATTGACAATGACCTTTTTGTAAAGACTTGAGGGAGCCAAGGTAGTTATCTCATATAGGAGCTAGTGTCCTGGGTGGAGGGAGCAGTTGGGGTAA